TTTCATATGTGCTAAAATTATTATGTAAGAAAGTGTTGTTCTAAGATCTTATAAACAAATAGAATCATATACTTAATCTTGAATAAACTAATAGATAAAGTTGTTAATTTAGATTTATGCCAAAATTAGCAAATAATACCAAAAGAATCAGATGATGGTTGAGTACTACCTTTGTACTTACTTAGTAAGTAAATAAATATATTAAAAAATAAAACTTCTTAACTTTTAGTAGTGCTATTAACAAAGAGTGAGATATGTTTTATCAAAATCAGGCTTTAAATAACTTTTGTAAATTTACTAGAAAGTGTTGTAAAAGCTTATAAACTATTTTCTTTAAAAATTAAAATGTGCACTAAATCATGAACTTTGCAAAAATTTAAAATTTAAAAACTTAAATCTGAAATAAAAATATTTGATTCAACTAACTAATCAATTTAGTGAGGATGTTATTATTGCCATCACAATTTATGCTTGTGCCACAACTTACCATTCACTAAGTGCGACCATAATTTTGTTACTGCCACCACAAACTATCCTAAACTGGAATGGCACACCAAGATGCACTTTTCTCAACCACAGGTCAGGTGTTGTTACAAAAGCTAATGGTATCAGCCTGTGACTCTTAATTACTCATGTTGGCTGCTATATCTGCTTCCTACCTCTCTCACTACCCTCCACAACGTTTAATGACCACATCTGAAGCTTGGTGATATATGTACTAGTGCTGGCAAAAGAAGGAAGAAAACAAATGGAAAAAGAAAAGAAAAAGGGGAACAGAGACGGTATATTAGACTCACTCCTTTTCTACACTCCCTCATGTGCTTTCTTTTAAGAAAAGCCTAAACCAGTCCTGTGTGCTCGTCTCCATCATGGAAATACGAATAAAGAAAAAGAAATTCGAAAAATCTAAAAAGTTTGCATGTGGTAATTTGAAAACTGGACGTCCCCAAAAATCTTAAAAGGAACAACCACAAAGTCTTCCATACAAGAACATTCCCTGTTCACAAAATCCGCCACTGGCTAGAAAAACAGCACGTTCAACAAGAATACGAGCCAAAGCATAATACATCCTGGTATAATAAAAAGCCAGGATCGTATCACGTATAGACCCTCCAGCCTTTCCCATATTGACTGCCAATAAGACATGATACCTAGGGCTGGGAGTTCTGACAGCCTCAAGTGTACTGTGCAGGTAAGCAATGACCATACTATATTACACTGTGAAGCTCTACATATTTTAGAGTAATACCAATGAGAGGGGTAAGTGTGTAACATAGTGGGCGTACCTAAAACACCATACTAAATGTGGCAGTGCCTACAATGTAATGCACAAGCTCAACCTCACAATAAGAGATCAAAGCTAATCCAACCCAATTTCAAATATGTACATGTGTCTACCAGCACCGTCCAGAAATTGACCGTCCAGATACCCACTACTTTCTCCGCGCTTGTTGTGCATGATGAGCTGCCTGGTTATCCCGGGCTATCCGATGCGTGTATAAAGGTAATTTTAGAATTTCCTGGAACTCCTTCTGCAAGTCTTCTTCGGTTATATTGTCCTTGATACTACCCATCACCTGCACAAGATCGCCCGGTACAGGTCAAAATCTCGTAATATAGCCTATTTATGTGCAAGAATTAAATGCAATAATTCCAGATAAATAAACCAAACGATTTCCTTCACAACCATATTCGGGCTAAACACACATAAATATCTATGGTTATGTTTTATGGGACAATGGACTAGTAGCAAACGTGACAACTTTCAAACTCCGCCCGCACCTTAAGGTAGACATGATATGCATTAGGCGTCTCCTTGTCAGGACGCATACGCATATAATTCCAAGTTTCCAACTCTGGATCGTAACTGCATTCAATCACTTTGTTCGCCATGCTTTGAACGTCTGCGCCCTCTGTAATCCAAAGTTCGACAAAACCAAACTGAGATTACCCTAAAGTGCAATCAGACACTGATTTCAAGCACAACTGCAAAATGGCCAGTCACATGTAGGTGAGCATTTCATTACCTGGAAACACCACCTTAGCATGGTCAAGCTGCCTAAGCTTGCCAGAATCCATCAGCATTAAAGAATAATTGCTCCCATTTGGTGCAATCTATATCATCAATCACAAGAGGAATAACTACTTCAAACCCCACGCTGTTTGTACTGGAACTATAAATTGAAAGCGTGTCAACTTCGCAGCTCTCAATACAAACTACCCCAGTCATCTAATGAAACATCCTGAAATCAGATAAGAAAAGACTCCAAAGCACTAAGCATCATCAAATACGACAGCTACAACTATACGATGTCGGGCACATAACCGAGCCATAAAGAGAGTGGAGTCACTGAGCAACCTTCAGCATGAAATCAACAGAGTTCATGTGGGCGTATTTCCATTTGAGAAGACCTTCATGAGTACGGGGCACATACGGATCATCAAAGCCCTACAAAACATAGGCCACAGAACAAATTTCAGTACTTGGTGCAAAATTCTACAACATAGACTTCTTCATAAACTCATTGTACATAAAGCAAATTAAATACATGAAAAAGCATATCTCGTTTCTCCAACCCTAGGAGTAAAATGAAAATACGAGAGGATATTACCTGCAAAATTAGTCCATCGGCTTCATGACAAAGTTGTGGGATGAACTTATGCAAGATCTTCTCTGTAGCAGACAGCATCCAAAAATCCTTCCGTCTCACCTGAGAGAAGCACACATACATGTACCCTTAGCAGCAGATCATCATAAGCATGTTAACATACTCAAATCCAGACCATGATAAATCCTTCCAAACTGTAGGCAGTAAGGAGGACCGAGCCCCACCACAACTGGGACCAACACTTTAACCGTCCACACACACTGCCACAAGTGAAAATACTCAATGCAGTTGGAGCACAAGGAAAAGTAGTCCAAACATCTGAAAAACATACAATCAACCTCAATACTAAGCGCAATGAAAGAGCTAAGTAAAAACAAGACATGAATAAACGGTACTCACACTGAAGGCCTCTTGCTGGTAATCATACAACCTTCCTCGAAGAACATTTAGTTCATGTAGACGAGGCTCGTTCACCTCTTTTTCGATCATTCTCCACCTCTCGTTGAACGGCAACTACACATGAGGCACTGTAACCTGTAAGTGATGATCCTGCCCTACTTCCAGACTGGGCGAGCTTAACTAACGCTCACACCCAACGAGGATCCTACATGAAAACTTCGTACCTTTCTTGTTGGATTTGGTGTCAGGAATGTAAACTGTCCAGGATCAATAGAACCAGATAAGATGACTTATGAGAGATCTACCTAGAAATATCCTTTCGACACATTGGAGAAGGTAAACTCCACATATGAAAAGGCCAACCTTGGAAAAGACCATGATATCTGGGGCATGAGTATCATTTCAGGTTGACAATACTTCGTTCCCCTTACTGGAATAGAAAGCATGACATTTCAAGATGACACACAAGAATACCTTTGAGATAGTCTGATGATTGACCATCATCAGATCATACACCAGATATCGCCTCTTCAGCTGTCCATCAGGCAGCTTATCAATCACCATCTCACCGTCCATTAATGTTAAATGATGAGTAGGGGCCAAAGCATCCTTTCCGACTTGTCCCTACACACAGTGCTTCTCAAGGTCAGCTCCGGAACGAGCACCGTGATCAAACTTTGGTGTACCATTACACTGTGTCCTTTTCAATGATAGCATATTTCAGCACGATTCATAGTCTTGTACTAAATGGTACCTTAAGAGGGAATCGCAACTGAACCCGCCGAAACCTGAAGTTTCGGTCGATTAAATACACTCCGTCTCTTGCTATTAACATCATATACCGAGTTCCATCTGCCTTCCATGTGGCATAGTAATATTTCTGCCTCAGCAGCTGCAAATTCTTTCTGTCATTTAATCAATGTGCAATACAGTCACAACTTTGTAACCATAACAGCAAATACATAGAGGACGCTATCCAAACAAAAGAATTTGGAAAGCACGCGTACTGTGAAAATGAAATGCTGAAAAATTTTAATTCTATAGTCAACCCTAAAATGACGAGGTGGAAATAGAAACATTCACGGCGGACTTGGCCTCCACACTCACATGATGCGTCTTTTGACACAAATCAACCCTTCTCAGTAAAACATTCTGAAAATAGATACAAGAAGAAAGCTAACTGGAACTGCATGTTTCGCAAGCTATATCTCCATTGCTCTGCTTCGATCTAATTTTAGACTAATCTCAAAGATATGAAGAGAAGATATACCTATCCAAGGACACCGGCTGAGATCCTGGAAAGCGTAAATTGCTCATCCCATATCCTTGCGGAACAGGCTGTTGCCCAAGCCCATGAAACATAGGCAGGTGTCAGCGCAAGGATTATCAAAAGGAGACTGTTGACGAAACAAGCAGCACCGATCTCAGGAACGGACGCTCATCTGGCCTGTCCATTCCATTCAATTTTCATGCATAAGCAATCACAACCCTAGCCTTTACCCAGGGGATATCCAACACGCTGCCCTCTTGCTGTTTACTGCTTATTCTCCATTGAAGGGATGAAGGCAGCAAGCAGGCAAGAAGTTCGGATTGTTGAGGATAATAACCTCGGTGTCAAAATAGAAAGTTAGGGTAGACAGTAATATCAAGTCAAAGGTTCGAAGGACTCACCACACCAACGGCCCAATAGCATAACTTTTGCATTTCTCGCTGCTGATCATCAGGTATAGCATCCCCAAGCACATCATCGTTTGTCATTGGAGCAGCAGCTGGTTTCTCCTCCGTGAACTTATCACACAAAACCAACAATCCAAAAAATTTACAAACCACAGCTAGCATCCAAACACAAATTTTTGAACCAAGGATTCGTTAGGCATCAGTAAATATGAGATATTACTTAAACCCCAACCCACCAATTTGATGAGAGGATGCTGAATATAAAACCTTCAAAAACATCTCCATCAAACCTAAAAAAAATCCTGATCACAGTTCATGTACTGGCGAAAGGCTGAGTTATTTTTAAACATGTAAGCGGTCATGCTTTGACTCATATGAGAGGATTAACACGTGATGCAATGACACGGCAATTGCAAAAGATGTACGCTCACTAATGCGTAGAGACATAGTCCACTTTAGCAGGAAATCATCGTTTTAAGTAAATTATCACCTGAAGAGCAGCCATGAAATCCTCCTCATCATCTTCATCTGGATCAGTTGTAGCGACACAGTTCAGATCAGGAGTTTCGGGTCTTTTCCACTCTGGAGTAGAAGGACAAACTAGAGGCTGTGGCATTGGCTCATGATAAAATTTGTAGAGATCCTCAATATAGTGCTGCTTGTATATGCCTGGGGGCCTTACTTTGGCAAACATACGAACACCCTGTTACAAAGAAAATCTAATGAGGATAGTAGACCTACAAAGGAAAGAAAAATCTTACAGCTCTGCCTGGGAGATGGAATATAAAAGTTAAATAAGTAAATAAAACCCACTACCAAATGATGGTTAGCTCATTTCACACATCTAGACATGACCACAATCAAGAGTGCGAACACCTCTATTGCGAACCATACGCACATACCCGCATCTCAAAAACTCACTCAGTCATCTTTCCAATCAATCTATAGAGTGCTGCAAAAGATTACGCTCAAATTATTGCAAACGTGATAAATCGAGAAGAACTGCTACATGTAGTGAATGAGTAAGCCCTAACGAACTCAAAACAATCATGTAAAGAACATAATGCTACACCATAGATGGCAGAGATTTTAGACGAACCTCCTCTACACTCCTGCAATTATTGGTGCGCATGAGGTAATGAACAATCATGAAACCAGTACGGTTGTGTCCATGGGTGCAGTGCACTAGTACAAACTTGTTCCCAGTGGTATCATTTTTAGCATGCAGATTCGAGAAGAATCGCATCACCTATACCAGCCACAACACGGGAAATGCGCCTAGTGAGATCCAAAAATCGATAAATGGTGAGCACAATCAGAGATTGGGGCTCTGGAAACGCGGATAACCATACAACGCCACGATATGAAAACCAAATTAATTGATAAATAGCAATACACAACATTCCCACCTCAAATACAAATGTGTTCACGGATTCCGGATCCGGAACCTCATTGCGTCCTCGACAAGCCACCTGCAACGGCACTGAGAAAACTTAAGGTCCTGCTTGCAAAACTGCAGACTCCTATACAGAAACATCAGTTAAAAACCTTAAATACCATCAAGAACCTAGTTGTACTCACCTTCACATACTTCACTCCATCATTAGTCCACTCGCTTGAGTTATAATAACGAGATGTATTGGTCAGGTCAATGACAAGTCCGATCTGCAAACAGCCCTCCGTCATTACATTATACAGGAAGATGCAATGGATCCATGATCATAGCAATACAATTCGTATCCCTAAAAGACGTACAATTGAAGTACGAACAGAATGCACCTCCGAGTTGTTGTAAAGACCATTGAAAGTGGGAAGATATAGAACACCCTAACAGAGATCGACTGTATAGAATGATTTCCTGTAGGCATTGATTGATGCAAATCAGGGCTATCCAACCTTACGCCCCACAGCTTGTTGATGCCTAACTACATGCCGTCGAGAGTATCTTTTCCCTGCATCTAACAACTCATTGAAGGTCTCCCCTAGAGGCACTTTGGATGGAATCAAGTTACATATGGGATCGCCAGCACCAGGACAATCCAGCCAACCTGAAAACAAAAATCCTAGTGAGTTCAAAGCAAAAATAAGCTTGTAAAATACTATGTGCTCATGCACACACATCGACTTGGCTAGATCTCCCTTACGTCTAAACCTACAGCTGCAATTGTTAAACAACCGAAAGATACCTTCAGGTAATGGCCCCACGTTGCGCAACCTGTCCACAGGTTTTGGAGGTTCGTTGAAGGGCTTCGAGACTTTTCCCGTTCTTTCCTGTTCTGATTCCCGCTGACGTTTCATACGGAGTTTCCTCTCCTCCCGTTCCTGCAGCTCACAACGGAAACATTGTACATGAGTAAGAGGTACTTAAGAACTCATTTAAGGTTAGGTCCAACTTAAACAATATAAATTCACTAAGCCAAAATACATCGTGGCATCAATGCTTACAGCCTTCATCATTTCAACTGAGCTCATGCCATCATTGGCCATGGCTGTGGCCGCTCGATCACCCATATCTCCTCAATATCCACCACCTTTAATAATTCTCTTTCCAAAACCCTAAAACACCTTGATAACTCACTAGCTCCCACTTCTGTTTTCACCAACCGATCACGTGGTCAAACACAAAGACTTTCAAATAGAAGACACAAAAGCACCAATTTACTCTCCGGAAACCCCAAAACACTTGCACTCATCTCCACCAGCTTCGGGCATGTATTGGATATTCACAATACCAACAGTCAAAGTAAATGCATATCACCTCACCCATTTATTCCCAAGTCTACGTGCAGAAACTCAGATTTATCCCATCTACCTTCTCAAACCATAAGCACAAAAAGCTTACCAATTGAACTTCTATCCCGGCCAACCATGTATTCTTACAGAACAAGCATATTTTTCAGAATGCACAATTTCGGGTACGTACATCAAATACCAGGTTCCCAGTACTCCATTACATGATACCACAAAAATCACGAAACAAATAAATCTCCTCTCCCGTAAACCCAACTTTCATCACAAATATCTAAACTCGACGCCCCAAAACCAATTACAATCTGATACTTCGACAGCTGATAGGGATAATAAAACAACACTATTCCTCGAAACGCATTAGGCTAATTCTAAAGCAGAAAATTCCCAAAATTAACGCCCTAACAGTAGAAGCTGCTTCTAAAACAAAACCATAAGCAGCACGCTTTACGCAAAAAGGCTAGTCACTTCATAAGATTGTAAGACACCAAAAACCTCTGTACTCAAAATCAAGAGAATGCTAGTGGAACAAGAAACAACTCTTTATGTTCACATGCACTGATTCCATTTCTCGGATTCCCACGAAAATACGGCCATCATCTTGAGTCACGAACTTTACATGAACACGTGTCGATAAAATCAATCGAACACACTGACGACAGGAAAGAGGAAATATCTCTCACTAACAAATCGCGACTAGACGCTGTTGTAATAGACTTGTCACGGGCGTCCAACAAGAAATCACGTCAACAGGGAGCAACAGAAGAGAGCAACATCTAAAATTTGACTCATTCACGAGGTTGTATTCAATACAAAGCTCTTAAGCTTAGTTGGAGGAATTAGAGGTTCTAGTACTGATACGGAAGCTAAAAGGGCAGTGACATGTATGCGGTAAGAGACGCTTTTGGGATTGATGAGAAGGCATTACCGAATTCCTTCGATTCCAGCCTCTCCTGCAAACAGAGAGAGAGAGAGAGAGAGAGAGAGAGATCCACTCTCGCGAAGAAGACTAACAATGAAGCCATGGCCTGGCGAGGCTCCAAACCCTAAGGCTGCTTTCATGTCCCCCTCCCCACGGCAAATCGAAACCCGTATGGTCCTCGGCTGATGTACTTCTGTCCATCAATCCACCCGTTCCCCAGCCCAACTCCAGGACGATGTTCCGGGTATCATTACTCCGATGCCAGGTATGAGAAAAATCATACCCGCTTCGACAAGAGTCGTTTATATGGAACTGATGAACGGATGGATGCATATGCAGTATTTTGAAAAGAAAATTCAGTGGGTGCATGGGAATTTCAAGTGAAAAGAAGTATAGTTGTGTCATGATTTCCAAAACCAATTGTTGACTGTAACTAGTTTTGCATTTGCATGTAAGAAATTTAATTTTGACTTTTTGAATTTTTGAATTTATTTGTATAATCAATGTTAGAAAAAATGTATATCTACATAAATAGAAAAACTGAGTAGCCAACGTTTGTATGTATCATCAAAAAATCCCATTTGCTGGAGCAATAGGTGGCAATGATTGCCAGGGTATACTTTGGGTGTGTGTGTGTGTATTTTTTATTTTATTTTTTTAATTGCAGTAAGGGGCACTGATTGGCTGCCGAGATATATTGTGTGTTTTTTTCATTTTTTTGATTGGCTGCTAAAACCATACTAGATATTGGCAAAGCCAATGGGTTTACTCACTAGTATATATATATATCAAAGACAAAGACAATGATGTTTGTCTATTTTATAAGACATGTATAACATTCTAATACTTTGATTTTGTTATTGTAATGCTATTTCAACATAAATAAATAAATAAATAAAATGACCTCTTATAGCAATTGATTTCTACATTCTTTGTAACAAAGTAAAATTCTATTACTTGCACAATTACTTCTAAAGCAAATGAAAGAGACTCCAATGCTAGCATGCATATGAATAAAGATTTTTGTTTTTTTTAACTTGACTTCTACACGTAGATAAATATTTTATTTACTCATTTGTTTGTAAATAGAAATCCTTATCTATATACAAATTTTTATCTTGTTTGTTATTTTGATTATGTTCTATGAAAGGTAAATGGATAATGCTTGCATAATTCTTTAAATATTATTTATATTAAGAAATATTATTTAGATATTACTAATGTGCTTTATTTGGTTCATAAAAAAAAAAAAAAAAAAAAATCTAATATTTTTTATTGTTAATCTATATGTGATTTCTTTTTAGCGTACATAATATATCAAATTGTAAAATCTGTTATTACATATGGTTAAGAATTACCATGTTATACATCAAAGTAATATTTTAGACCTTAAGAAATAAGTAAAGAATTAAAGTCTGTTTATTAATTCTTGAGGTAACTCAATTTATAACTTAAATAAAAAGCATCTATATGAAGACATCTATTATGAAATGAAGGCTATTGATTACATTAAATTTTATATTAAAAAAATTCCTCAAGGAATTTTATTCTTATAATAAAATCAATTTCACTAATATAAAATTATGTTTGTTTAATAAAAATAAAATACTATTATTACATAGTTTAACAATAGCCAAAATAACTTTATAACATTGAAAGTCATAATTTTTTATAATTTTTATTTCTATTTTACAATTCTCTTATTAATAGTTTTAAAATAAAAATAATACATATATGTATAAATAGAATAAATTTTAGAAGTCTAAGTAATCAAATAAAATTAAAAATATGTGTACAAATATAAATGGAAATTGATATGTTGACTGGAATTTTACTAAAATGATTGGGTTTTGGTCAAAATATCTTATTGTGTACAGTATAATTTTAATACATATTCTTTTGTGTTAAAGAAAAAAAATAAAATTATGTGTATATTTATTATTGATATGTATTAAAACTAAGTTAATATACCACATTTATAAATTGATATGTGAACACAATATCTAATTGTGTATGAAAATTATGAATACACATATCAATTTCAATATATATATATATATATATATATATTAAAATTATGTGGTATACAAAAAGACATTGTGACGCGGTTTAAATCTAGTTAATTTAGTAAAAATCCTAGACATTGTACCAATTTCCAATATATATGCATCAATACATTTAAATAGAAGCCTATAATATTAAGCAACCAAATAACATGTATTTTAATATTTTTAATACAATTACTTACAATAAACTTCTTTTGAAATCAAGTATATATAACATTAAATAAATTTTTGTTTGCAAGAATGTTTTTTTATTATAAGATTGTAAAAATAAAAATATTTAGTTAGTATACTAATTATATTTATAATATATGTAAATATTTAAAATATATATTTTTTATTTTTAAAATACAGAATTAAATTAATAAAAATATAAAAAATACTTATATAAAGTAGTTATATATATTAAATAATATAATATTAATATGATTTTTTACTATAATGAATTAAAAATAATTTTAATATAATTAATCAAAAAAATTATAAATGAATATTTTAAATTTATCTAATTACTAAAAAATTTAAAAGCTAATATTAAACTTTTTGATATATAGTATTTACCTCTTTCTTTTAGCTTATATAATTAACGCTTCAAAAAAAATAAACATTTTGACTTGCTTGTAGTATATCTATAATTTATCAAAAAAATTATATATTTTAAATTTTTTATGAATAAATCTATATATTTTAATTTTTAAAATTAAGTAATATATATATATATATATCTAATATAAAGATTTTTTTTTAAAATTAAATAAATATATATATAACTATAAAGAAAAAAACTAAAAATTAAAAATTATAGATATATTAAAAGATACTTGATTATAGTTAAAAACTATAATGTTTATTTTATTAAAGTATATCTATATTTGATGAGTAAAATATTTTAAAAATCTTAAAATTGATTAATTTATATATACATAATAAATTTTTGTATTAAACATAGCTAATATTATAAATATCTTAAAAATTAAGGAAGAATGAAAATATTTACTACATATTTTAGATGTCCATATTATTCTAATAAATAAAAATATGTAGAAGTAGGTACAAGTAAATAGAGTATGTTAAATCAATAATATCTTTTTATACAAACTTTAAAGAGGATTTGTAAAGATATATTACATCTTCAAACTTTAATGGATATGAAATGTGCTTAGTAAAAATTATTCTATAAGTTCTGACTTTTAAAAGAATGCATTGGAAGTGATTTATATTTTAATGTTTAGGCCACATATCTTGCAATTCTTAGGGAGTTTTTATAAGTCATTCTTGATAGCTAATTTATTTAGAGATAAGAATAAAACTATCCTTAATTTTTTTTAATGCCTATCAAGGACATGAACTGAAAGAAGATATATAAATCTAAAAAATTTGTGTTAAAAGAAAAGTAAAAAAATAGCAATAAAGTAGTATATATATTAAAAAAAAGTTAGAATGGCTATTGCCAAAAGACAAGGAAACTAGAGACTCTTCAATCTAGACTAGAAGCAAGAAAAGAATTGACAAGAGTGAAGATGGCTTTATTCTTGCCTCTATATATACTATTTAATTAGGAGCTATGTGGAAATGTTTTATATGACCTCTAATATGTGTTGACTTTGCAGGACACATGCTTTAGCTTAGAAGGTAAGTTTTCTATGTGTGGGCCATATAATTAGCTTATTTTTCAAGCTACCAACATGTATCGCACATGGCCAACTTGTTGACCACGTTTCTAACCTAAAAAGTCAATTATAGTCATCTATAAAGTCAAAGCACTGTCTATGAAGCTTCTATAGAAGATATTATGGAATTAATCTATTTTTACCTATTTGTATCTAATCATATAGGTAATTATTGGTTTAAATGTGTATATCCATTACAATACCTTTTTGGTAATCTAATTTTGATTGGAGATTCTGTAGCTTATTTGAATTTACTAAAAACCATTATAACTTATTTTTATCTTATAATTTAATATTTTTTATATAATTTATCTCTTCTTTAATGATTCATATTTTTGATGATATTTATATAATAATAAAAAATTAAATAAATAATTTAGATTTAATTTATTAATCTTATTTTTTTTCAATTTATCTTTTGAACAAAAAATAAAAAATTCCTTAATAATCATTTATGACCAATGTCTTTCTTTCTTTCATATAATTCTATTATATCAAATATTCAATACTTCGTTGGATAATTTAGTCTTTTTTTTTATTATGATTTTTAATTTTTTTCATCTTTTTTTATATCACTACTTAAAATATAAATTACTCACTATTTTATTTTTTCAAAATAATTTCAAATATACTTATATAACTAGTAATATTACGATTTTTTTCTTGTAAAGTTTATAAGATTAAAACTGTTCAATCTTTGTTATGCATGATTTAAAAACCTCTTAAAGTTTAAAACTTAATTGAAACTATATAAAGATTTATAAACATTCAAATATACCTCGTAAATAAAAAATATAATCTATTTTCTTTTCAAATTAATTTCTATCTTTTAATATAAAAATTATACCAAATTTTATATTTTTATCTATATTTTTTTAACTCATATTTAGATTCTATACTAAGTGTTATTTAAAAGGTATATTCAATATATATATATATATATATATATATATATATATATATATATATATATATATGATGGATCTAAAAACTTAAATTTTTATAAAAATATAAAAATATACTATTCTACATCTTATTTTATGTCTTACAATTAATAGTAATAGATAGAAAATATCACTAGAAGAAAACTAGAAAATTAACAATTTGAACTCAAAAACTCTTATCTACTACACCATGATTTAACACGTTACAAAGTTATGTTCAACTCTTTTTCTACTTTATAGTATTAAAACAAATTTTAATTAATAAAATAATATATATATATATATATATATATATATA